AACATCGTCAAGTCAAAACATCCATCATCTACGAATGTGATTTACTAAAAAAACGCTCGTGAAAGAGCGTCGTAAAATTGTCATAAACATTATGATCGTAGCTATATAATTTCATTTCACAAATATGGCACGTGGTAATATTAGTAGTAATTGTGGTAATTTTTGTCGTAATTGTGGTAATATTTGTCGTAATATTTGTCGTAAAATTTGTCGTGATAATTGTGGCAGTCAGCATTTGAACTCGCTCTGCGTGATGGCACTTAGATCTTTCATGAGTCCTTCCAGGTTTGCCATTTCGGCTGACAATTCTTCCGTACTAAGAGATTTCTATGCGGGTGGAAAATTGATGATGATTACGATGGTTGTAATAATTTTAATGGGGATGGTGAAAATTGATGATAACAATGGTGATTATAGTTATAATGGGGATGGTGAAAATTATGATTTAGGCCGGGTGGTGGTGTTGTGCATATCGTATGAGATGAGGAATTACGTGTCTTCTACGCGCTGTGTGTGTACGTGTGTGTGCGTATGTTGTGTGCGTGTGTAAGTGTTGTAAGTGTGTGTGTGTGTGCGTATGTTGTGTGCGTGTGTAAGTGTTGTAAGTGTGTGTGTATGCTGCGAGTGTGTTGCGTGCGTATGTGCGTGTGTGTGTGGTGATGACAAAATATTATTCAATGGAAATCATTAGCTCCTGTAGCTCATTCATTTCTTAAACATGGCAAAAAATTTCAACAACAATAAAAATACGTTAACATACTGGTATAATTGAATTGGAATTGTTAATATTTTGTGTCTCCGTGGAGTTATTGTTGTTGTTGTTATTATTAATGTTATTATTATTGATGTTGTTGTTGTTGATGTTATCAATGCTAGCATTTACATTGGCACAATCAGTGTTCGTCGTTGTTGTTGTTGTTGATGTTGTTGTTGATGTTGTTGTTGATGATGAGGCTGTTAGTGGTGGCGATGCTGATGCTGATGACGACGAAGTTACTTTCGGTTGTAGTTGCGTGGGCCTCACTAAATTATGAAAATATGATTCCATGATTAATTATTAATGCCAGATTTAATTATAATATTATAATTAATTATAATATTATAATTAATAGCTGGAACAGGAAAAAAATACACACAGATATGAAAAAACATAAAAAAAAACATAAATAGGTAAAAACAAACAAAACATAAACATAGATAAAAAACATAATTATAGGTAAAACAAAATATAAACATAGATAAAAAACATTGACAAAAAAAGGCATAGACAAACAAACCAGCAATCCTGGAACTGCTATTACTGTTCATTAACTTCCTACTCGCTTCTATCTTCAGACGCTGCCTCTCCAGCGTTGAAAAACTGTTTTCTGCAATTCGAAATAAAACGAGACGAAATTATTTTACCGTTAAATCTCGTTTCGTAATGAAAAAATATTTCACATAGAGTACAGTATCGAACTGAAAAATGCATACAAAGTAAGGTTACGTGTTACAAATAATATTTGTTTGTTTGTGTGTGTGTGTGGTGTGTGTGTGTATGCAAAACCGTTAGGGGGAGGAGCTATGTCTCCGGCATTGACCCTAGGCGTGGTCATGGCGACAACACTGGAACCAATCAGGTTGGCGGAAAATGGGGTGCGACTAAAGAGCCTAGTGGCACCAAAAATAGAATTTGTCGTTTTGTTGGGAGTGGTGTTGCTGTTGTTGTGGCCGCTGCTGTGGCTGCTGAGATAAGATGGCGGTTGCGGTTGTTGTTGGTAGTTGTTGAGGTAATTAGAAGTGAAACCTAGGGTTGTTGTTGTGGTTATAATTATAATATAAATAATAACAATAATAATATTATTAAAATTAATAATAATAATGTTAATAATAAAAATGACGACCATAATAATAATAACAACTAATAATATTAACCCGATGGTCTAAGATATCTATCTTCTTCTGATATTTCCATGGAAACTGTTAATGAACAAACGCAGACAGACTCACAAATTACACACAGACAGACACACACATACACAAACAGACAGACACACACGCAAATAGACAAACGCACGCACAAACACAAACACTAACCGGTGTCTTCGTTACTAATAACTGAACATTCAGAAAGGTTAACATTGGCACTGTTATTATTATCAATACTTCTGAATTGCAAACAGCTGATATCCAAAGGATTCCCAATCAGTAATTGGTTGCCATTAGTAAATAAATTATTGTTATTAAAATTATTATTATTATTAAAATTATTATTATTATTATTAAAATTATTATTATTTCTATTAATGTTTCCGAAGTTAAAGATGGTATTCGGAGATGAGCTATTTGAGGAATGTTGCTGCTGTTGCAGCTGTTGCAGCTGCTGCTGGCTGCTGTTGCTGTTGTAAGTCACGTGTTCATTCAACCTCGTGTCGACCCAGAGGTCAGGGGGCTTGAGGTCTTTGTTTGACAGGGTCGAATGGTGGCGATGAGATTGCATCGTTCTGATTGGTTGTCGGGGTTGTTTGGTTGTGATGATGATGACGGTCGCGATAGTGATTGTGTTGTTGCTGTTTATTAGTTTTAAAATTTAATTAAATAATATACAATTAATAATTTTAATTACAAAAACGTACCCGCTTTCAGATGCAGAATCTTTGGCCAACTTGCGCCTATAGCAGATGACAGAAGCAATCAAAATGGCGGAAATGATGAACAGCGTAGCCAAACTTCCGATGACAGCATAGAAAACCACCGGCGGTAGACTTGCAGTTTGTTCTTTGGTCATCGTGTTATGAGTATCTATGGTGTTTGGGGGTAAATGGGCGATATTATATCGACACTTCTATTTTTAAATCGACTCGTCGAATAAAAATATATCGTGAGTGTGATTGTTATCTTTCTTGTTCTCATTTAATTTGTGTTTTATTGGAAACGACTGGTAGTTCAATGGTTAGACTGCTTGTTACCTGAGTTTCTGCCCCCAGGTTCAAGTGCAAGCAGATACAAATCAGACGCAAGTTGAAACGCGTGGCGAATTTAATCATATAAAAAAAATAATAAAAGTGATATAATATCATTCATTCATTCATTTTATTCATATCATATCAAGAAACTGACTTTTAAAACTGTAAGAAATTTCATTTTTGATTGGCTGTTGTTCGTTGCTTAAACCTGTTTGCGAGGTGAAATTTCTTTTAATGTTACTACACCACTACCACTACTATTACTACTACTACTACTACTACTACTACTACTACTACTACTACTACTACTACTACTACTATTACTACTACTACTACCACCACCACTACTACTATAACTAATACTAATAATAATATTGCTGCTGCTACTACTACTACTATTACTAAATCTAATAAAATTAACAATAATAATAATAACAACAACAACAAAACAAACCGTCGGTAAATCTAAAAGCAACGAGAGTCGAGTTCGGACCGTATCCGGCCGAATTGCGGGCCTGAATCTTGAAGTACCTCGCCTGTTGGGTCGGTAAGTCGGTAATGGTGGTCGATAGCTGATCGGTATGCAGTCGAATAGTGGTCCAGCTGTACGCCGACTGCGGCTGGTCACTTGTGTGGTAGATGGCGTAGCCTCAAATTCGGAAGTAAGGTTTTAAAAATTTAGATTTGAGAATTTTGGATGTTTGAATCAATTAACTTTCAATTAACTAATCAATTAATCAATCAACTAATCAATCAGTCTACTATTCATTCAATCATTCATTCAATCAATCAGCCAACCAGTTATTGGTCCGTTAGTGATCCGCGGTGGCAACCAAGCCAGTCTAACGATTCCGACATTATTATTATTATTGTTGTTGTTATTATTATTATTATTGTTGTTGTTGTTGTTGTTGTCACTAATTTGGATGATTGACAAGTCTCTTGGTGACGTTGACGGGCCTGAGGATGTTGCAGAATTTGTTTGTAAGAATTTGTATGCGTGTGTGTGTGCTTTGTGTGTGTGTGTGTATGTTGTTTGTTTGTTTGTATGTACATTTGTGCATGTGTGTGTGTGTTTTATTACCTTTCAAGAGCAAGTTTGTATATGTGTATTGTGTATCCATTCGAGTTATATTCATTAAAATATGAAAACGAACGAACCAATGATACAATGAATAAACGAATGGATGAAGGGAAAATGGATAAATGGATGAATGAACAAACAAACACACAAACAAACAAACAGACAAACAAACAAACAGATTAATTAATAATTAAATTAAAAATATTAAACCAAAAAAAAAACACGAACCAGCAACCATAGTCCTATTAAAAACACTGAGACTCCAGGCACTTTCAGCATTGCCGCGAACAACCTTTACCAAGAATTCATAATCAGTGTTCACTTTTAAATCCGTAACGATCAATGACGTCACCGTGCTATTTATAAGTCGGGTTTTCTTCGAAGTGTGGGAAAATCCCGCTTTCGATACGACCTTGATGACGTAATAGTAGTAGGGATGTTTGGTGTTTTTGTAGTAATTTTTGACGCTATTATCGTTGCTATTTTTAATCTTTTTTCCGCTTCCGGCAAAATTATTATTGTTATTATTATTATAGTAGTAATTATTATTGTTGTTGTAATTATTGTTCCTATTGTTATTGTTGTTGTTATAATTATTATTGCTGTTGTGGTTGTTGTTGTATCTTTGGTCCAAAGAATTGGAATCAGTCCAGACGAGATGAACGGACGATGATGTGTGGGCAATAACTTTCAAGGCCACGGGCGGGAAAAGGTTTGATAATGATGACGACGACGATGATGATGACGATGATGACGACGATGATGATGATGATGACGATGATGATGATGATGATGATGACGATGATGATGGCTCTGAAAGTTGTGGCGACAAACCCAACTATGTTAACCAAGTCGATGTTGATTAATAACAATAACAATAAAATAATAATAACAAGAATATAAATAATAATATACTTACTACTATCATCATCATCACCACCGGCATCGCCATCATTATCATCATCTCCGGTTGGACCAGTTTTGCACGAGTCGATGAAGGGCTCGCCTTCTCCCTTGTCGTTCGAGGCCCTCAGAGTTAATATATACTCCGTGTTGGGTTCTTCGGTAATGAATGAATGAATGAGTGAAAGGATGAATGATTGAGTGAAAGAACGAATGGATTAATGAATGAGTGCGTGAATGACCGCTAACTAAATGAATTAATGAGTGAGAGAATGAGTGAATGAAATAGTACAGACGCATGCATTCGTTCATTTACACGCGATCCAACAACAACAACCAAACAAATTGATTACTGACTCAAATCTTTGATCACGTGATAGCGCTTCCTGGAATCTAGCACCAATTTGTAAACATCCGGAACGCCCTCTCCGAATCCCAGCTGGTAGCCCCTAACTACCACGTGCGAGTTGGTCGGGGGGGCCCAGCTTACCCCTAACGAGTTTTTCTGGGATCGACACTTCAAGTCGAGCGGTATTCCCGGCACTTTGGTTTCTGTGGGGCGTCGTTTTGGTGGGAATGTTTTCCATGGAGTTTTATCATTATCATTTTTATTTATTTATTTAAAGTAAAACCAGATCACACAATAATGTTTGTTTGTATGTTTGCTTGTATGTGTGTGTATTTGTGTGTGTGTGTGCAGGTGATCATCACTGTAATCATCATCGCCATCATCATCGTCATCAGCACTATTAATATCATCGTCATCAACAACAACAACAACAACAACATCATCAACAACAGCATCTTCAACAACAGCATCAACACAACACCATCAACATCATCATCATTAACAACAACATCAACCACAAAAATTGCAGTGGCGGTTTGGCTCCGGCTTCGATTGGAGCCCTAGGGGTCCCCCAGAATGGGGCAACAACAACAACAACATCATCATTATTATCATCATCACCACAATCAACATCCTCATCATTACCGTCCAAGTCTTTGGTAAATGTTTGAGCGCTGAACCATGGCGAAGCCGCACTGCTACCGTTAACGTTCAGACATGTATGCGTATGTG